CGTTCGCAGCCGCTCGAGAGCGGTGCCCGCGTGCGACGAGGACTCTCCGACGGAGCTCGAGGACGTCGTGCTGAGTGCCCTCGCAGACTCCTCGATGGACCTCGAGCGCGTCGTGGCGGGCCTGAAGCCCGAGGTCCTCCGCCGCCTGCAGGCGGCCTTCCCTCGCCGCTCGGGGGCCTCTCCGCCCGCCGCTCGCGCCTCGGTTCGCAGTCGCTCTCGGGGCCGCGGCACGCGTGTCGGCTCCGAGACTCCGCGGCCCGTGCCCCCGCCGCCGCCGCCGCCCCCTCACCACTCTGGTGGGCGTGCGGCGTCGCGAACCCGCGCGTCGGCCGCAGGCCAGGGGCTCAGTCGGGCCGTCGCGCGCGGCTCCTCTCGCGCGCCTTCGCGCCAGGCGACGTCGCCTCGGCGTCGCGAGGTGCGCTCCCCTCGAGTCGCTCCGAAGCGGCGCCCGAGCCCCGCTACTGCGCAGCGGCCAGCCATGTCCCGCCATGGTGCGAGCTCGGGCGACGCCCACGCAGGCAGCTCCCGCGCGGACTCCGCTGCTCAGGCCCCTCAGTCTTCGGTAGGCACGCGCTCCTCCAGCGATGCTGTTGCGGCCCCGCAGGGCGGGGGGCGTGCCGCCGAGAAAAGGGGGTCTTCGAGCGGCCCCGCGCCTGGCCGAGATTCAGGGCACGAGCTGCATCCCAGCGGCTCCCACAGCGGCGACGCTGGGAGCGCCGCGGCTGCAGCCTTCGCAGCGCGGCGCACGGCCTCCGCGGCCGTTGAGCAGCCCTTGCCTCCAGGGGCCGCCACCGCCCTAGCGTGGCGTCTCAACCTCGGCGGTGAGAAGGTCACAGTGGTGAGGTGGGGACCCGCCTGGCAAGCTGCCTTCCAGAGCGCGGCGTCGTGGCTGAGGTCTTTCGCACCCGCAGGGGCCGCCGAGCCCGAGGGCAGAGATGACCTGCACTGCCTCCTGCAGGCCTTGCACGCCTATAAGCGCCTGTTTCAGACAGGCGGCGCCGAGCCGATCGACGAAGCCTCGTGGTTGCATCCTTACGTGGCCGCCGTCGAGCCCGAGGCTATCCCCGCGGGCGCTGACCTCCAAGCCATGGGGGCGGGCGCCATCCGTGGCATCGGGCTCGGCTCAAAGATCGAGCACAGGAGGCGCGCGGGCAAGTTGGCCTGCCTTTTCGACCTTCTGTACCACGTGCAGGACGGTCACGGCGCCATCCCAGCAGCGCTGTGGGGATCTCATTCCCCTCCGTCCGAGATCCTCGACGCGTTCGCGGAGGTGGTGCCCGTTCCACATCATTCGGGCCTCACGTCCTCGGCAGCTCGTTCCGAGCTCGCCGAATCGGCCGCAGCTGCGCGCGCCGAGCCGCGCCCGCCCTTTGACTGGGCGACCCTCGAGGGAGGGGGCGCTCTGCCCGCCGAGATCGAAGCAGGGGCTCGCCGTGCTCACCGTAACATGGGCGGATCCTTCAGCTCGGCGCGGGCAATGCTGGCGGAGGCGTCGGGGTTCGAGACCGACGGGCGGGACACCCTCGTTCCGCCCTTCTACGCGTCCAGGAGCAGGAGGGCCGCCACTCTGATCAGCTCTCCCAGCCCTGGCCGCCCTGCGCTCATCCTGTGGTGCGTCTGCGGCCTCTGCATCTCTCTGGGAGCCGCGGCGCCGACCGCAGGCCAAGGGCTTAGTCGGGCTGCGCCTTCCGCGCCCGCTCGCCCTCCGCGCACTCCCTTCGTGCGCGATTCTCACCTCACCTCCGCGTATCTCGATCGTCGCTCGAGATCGATTGATGCGTTCGAACTGTGGTTAGCAGAACACACTGGCGTGCCGCCCGCCACTCTTTACCGTAGCGGGATACTTCTCGCCCGCTTCCTCGCGACCTTCGGCGTGTGGCTTCATGATGCAGGTTTCCCTCATTATATTCTGGTTCATGCCATCTTGGGAATCCAGAGCGCTCATCCGCATTGGAAGGCCTTTCTAACAGAAGCTTGGGACGTAGCGAAACAATGGAAGCTCGCGGAGCCGCCAAAGCTCCGCCCGCCCTTACCTCGCGCTCTGCTGCGCGCTATGGTCGGTCTCTGTTTCGCCTGGGACTGGCCTGTGATGGCGGCCTTGCTGCTCATGGGCTTTACGATGTTCCTCAGGCCTGGCGAGCTGCTGGCGTCACGCCGCTGTGACTTGTCGCTTCCTTGCGACCGCCTCGAAGTTGAAGGGGATGCTTTTCTCTCGATTCTTGTTCCAAAGACCAGGAGAACGTACCCGACGCAGCATGCTCGCTGCTCCGATCGGGGCACGGTGAAGATTCTGAATCAAGTGTTTGGGCGGTTGGCTTCCACCGATCCTCTCGCCCCTTTCGGTGCGAGCGGCTTCCGTACTCGGTGGAATCATTTGCTTTCGGCCCTGGGCGTCCCTCTTGCCAAAGCGGGTCAGGGGCTCAACCTGACGCCCGCATGTCTGCGGGGCTCTGGCGCAACAGACTTCTATATCGCTACGGAAGACGTCCCTCGCGTCTTC